GCGGGTCATCGTGCAGGCGTCCACCGGCGAGCTGCTGCGCTGCCTGGGCGACTTCGTGTGCCGACGCTGCTACCGCCTCAAGGAGCTGAGCCCCGGCGAGCTGGTGGGCTGGTTCCGCGGCGTGGACCGCTCGCTGCTGCTGCAGGGCTGGCAAGACCAGGCCTTCATCACGCCCGCCAACCTGGTGTTCGTGTACCTGCTGTGCCGGGAGTCGCTTCGCGGGGACGAGCTGGCTCCCCTGCCTCTACCTCGCCTACTCCTACATGGGCAACGAGATCTCCTACCCGCTCAAGCCCTTCCTGGTGGAGCCCGACAAGGAGCGCTTCTGGCAGCGCTGCCTGCGCCTCATCCAGCGGCTCAGCCCGCAGATGCTGCGGCTCAACGCCGACCCCCACTTCTTCACGCAGGTCTTCCAAGACCTCAAGAATGAGGGCGAGGCCGCCGCCAACGCCGGGGGTCCACCCAGCGGGGGCGCGCCCGCCGCCTCCTCCGCCGCCAGGGACAGCTGCGCGGCCGGAGCCAAGCATTGGACTATGAACCTGGACCGCTAGGGATACCCCCCAGCCCCCAACACACCCCTTGGACCATCAATCACCGCCGCTGCTACCGCCACTCCGCGCCCGGGCCGGGAGGAGGAGGAGCCGCCCCTGCCCCGCAGGGGAAGGTGGATCCCGGGACACCAGAGGCCGCGGCATGTGGATCTGCTGGTCGTGGGGTGGAGATGAGGGGGTGAGCTTAGGGAAAGCGCCCCCAACCTCAGCCTTTTCGCCTCTGCGCCCCATCTCCATTTCTGCCCGGGGCTCCTCGTTCCCTGCAGTGCGCGTCCATGAGTCCATCTCCCTTTGATCCTGTCCGTCTCCTCCTCTCCTGTCTGGGACCTTTCCTCCCGTCTGCGTTCCCATCGCTGTCTTGACGTTTCCCATTCTCAGTGTGTTTTCATCTCCACCTTACCCCCCTGCCTGACTGCACCCCGTGGCCCCCGTTTCTCCTCCCGCACCTGTGTCTCCATCTCCCCTTCTCCGTTCTCTTCTCTCCTGCTCCTGTCATGTGTCACCATCCTCCTGGTCTGCCTTCCCCCTCCGCTGTGTTAACCTGCATTTCTCCCCCGACTGAAGCCCCATACCCCCTCCCCAGATCAAAGGGAACATTAGTTTTAATTTGGATCGGCTGAGGTGCGAGGAGAAACTGCAACCTCAGGCGCTCACACGACCACCAGAAGGGTCCTTGCTTCACCCCCACCCCCTCCCCACCTTTTCCAACGTGTTGCATGCCGGGAGTTGGGGGGGAAGGGGCTGCCGGCCTCATTCAGGAGTCTGAGGTTTGGGGTCAGAATCAATCTGGGAGACCATCCCGGTGGCGGGGCCTCAGCAAAAGGGTGGGAAAAGAAAGAGAACTCTTTTTACTCTGGGGGAGGGGTGCCCCTTTTCCTTTCCTTAAATTTTTTTGCCCCCCTCCCTTTTAATTTATTTGGTCTTTTCCGGAGGGAGGGGGGAGGGGGGGGAGGTTGGGCTGGGAACTGTCCGAGGTGCTGAGATGGGGCGGGACCGGAACCCTCCTGGGAAAGTACCAGGAACTGGGTTGGGCCTGGGGCCGTGTCCAAGGTGCCAATGATGCGGGCCGTACTGTTTGTCTGTCCGTCTGTCCCAGAGAGAACTATAAAGCGCTGGAAGCGCCTGCAGATGGTTTCGCGCCGGCCTTTCTTTGGGCCCCGGGATAGAGGGAGCGGGGGCGGGAGTAGAACTGTCGGGGGCAGGGCAGGAGCACCAGAGATGGGGGTCTAGTCGGGTAAGTGGAACCCCGGAAACTGCTACTCTTTGGTCCATCAGTTTCCATTTTAAAGAGTAAAATGAGGCCCCGCGGTTTGAGGCCTAGTGGCCAAGTTGAATCCACCCAACCCCCAGTTCCCTCTGGTCTGACTAGCTCTCATAATGTCCAGGTCACTCTTAGGGACTGAGTGGTGAGGGCAGCAGAAATGGGCCCCTTCTGTGCTGTAACTGGTTGAGACAAAACTAGCTAGTCATTATAGATGCTTTTCTCCCCTCCACCCCCGTCCTCCCTAGCCATATACCCAGCCAAAGGTCTGGTCAGGCTGACTAAGTGTGTGTTCACCACTCTCAGGTGGGGCTGCCTGCACCA